CATACCATTGTGCTGATAACGTTTCTTTAGTCCTTCGGCAATCCTACAGCCTGAACCACTCTAGGGAAACCACCCTTACAGATGGTGCCGAAACCCGGGATCCCTTGCAGTGAGTTTTCTGAGATTTATTTTGGTCGGTCATCAGAATGAGGATTTTTCACAGTTGATCTTGTGAATGGATTAAAGCTGGCCTTCTAACCATTGAGTGGGTAAGTATGTTTTCATTGTCCATTTGTATGATATAGAAATTAGAAGGTTGTAAGTAGCTTCAATATTCCCATTACTGTACAATCCGACAACATTCAGATTATCTCCTCAGGGATGGAAGGGAAAATTTCTAACAAAAGTGAAGCATTGTTTGCTTTATGGAGCAACATTTTGAGTCTACCTTGTGCAAACTCAAGAAAGAATATATTGATACTAGATGTTCAGATGATGAAATGTTCAAATGGTGGGACATAATTGGCAAACATCAAAAGAAATCAAAACATGGTGAGATAATTGAGGCTTTAAACTTCGTAAGCTGTACTCTGCTACGTGATTGGATACATCTATATTCAAGTATAGATGCTAATTGTAAAGAATTGCATTCTAAAAAAAGTCAGAGGCAAAGATTCAGGATCTTCAATCACAGCTGTATAAATTACTAGCTGAACAGTTAGCTCTGAGTGAAAAATGTAAAAATCACAAGGGCACCATTGCAGTTCTCAAGGATAAGCTAAATGCACACAAGTCCATGTCTCCCAAAACGCTTAACAGCGATGGGGCTAAAAAGCATGTTCACTTCTTGGAAGAGGTGACTTGCTGTGATGATTCTAGAACTTTTAGTTCAGAGGAAGCATGTGCCACTGTACAAAAAAGTGTGCCGAATTCAGTTCTTAAGGTGATGCAGCACCATAATAGCGCAGAGTCATGGACCAGAACGCATGGTGTAAAGGAAGCATTAGAGAGTCATGAAAATCCTCAAACTTCAGGAGAACACAGCAAACAACCCTGTGGCAAAGATAGCAGGTTTTGTAGTTCCTGTCACAAAATAGGCCACACAGAGGAGAAATGCTAGTCACTGGGAAGGGGTAGACCTCCACCTTATTTTCTGAAACATAGGAAATCACTTTCTAAGGGCAAAGATCAGTGGTCTACATGTAACAAGTCATCCTCACGTTATTCTTGTCTATTTCTTGTCAAATAGATAAGAAATGTACAGTTTCATACCATCGTGCTGATAATGTTTCTTTAGTCCTTCGGCAATCTTACAGCCTGAACCACTGTAGGGAAACCACCCTTACAGGCCTCTCACCGCCCATTTAATTTTTTGAATAAAAAAATATATATATACTGTATATACATATATAATGTCACCTCACCCGACATGGCTGTTCAGGTAGGGAAACCACCCTTACACACATATCCTCACAGAAACTGATATATGAAGTTATAGTCTCTGTGAGCTTGTCCAGATTGGTGGCTGCAGCTTCAAAAACACTCCAATCAGTGCAGTCGAAGCAGGCTATGTCCATCTCTTTACAGTCCTTTGTACAGGTTTAGCTGATTTCAGCTTCTGCCTGTAGGTCGGTATAAGATGAACTAGGCAGTGATCCCAAAGCTGCCCGTGGGACAGAGTGATATGCATCCTTTATTGTGGTGTAACAGTAATCCAGTATATTACTGTCTCTGGTAGGACATGTAACATGCTGTCTGTATTTTGGCAGTTCACGTGATAGATTCGCTTTATTAAAATCCGCAAGAATGATTAAAAGAGAGTCCGGGTACTGTTGCTCCATTTCAGTTATTTGTTCAGCCAGCTGTTGCAGCGCTGCACTCACACACGCGTCCGGAGGAACGTACACATTCACGATAATGAATGAGGAAAACTCTTGCGGCGAGTAGAAGGGTTTACAGTTTATGACGAGCGCCTCTAAGTTAGGAGAGTACATCTTCTTCATTGTTGTTACGTCTGAACACCAACCTTCATTTATGTAGAAACATAGTCCACCGCCTTTTGTTTTCTCCGTTAACTCCGTGATGCGATCCGCTCTGAACAGCTGGAAGCCCTGCAAATGAAGTGCGTTATCCGGAATGGCTTCACTCAGCCGGGTTTCAGTGAAGCACAATGCAGCAGAATTTGAAAGTCCTTGTTTGTGCGGGTGAGGAGAAGTAGTTCATACGTTTTGTTAGGAAGGGATCGGAGATTCGCTAGATGGATACTAGGAAGCGCTGTTCGGAAGCTGCGCTCGCGGAGCTTAACCAACGTGCCGGCTAGCTTCCCTCGTTTCCGTCTAAGTGTGCGTTTGAACAGCACCGCTGCCCCTCCGACTAGAACATCCAACAAAGCTGGAAAAAACTGGAAAAATGTTGTCTGGTGTGTGTTGCCTTATGTCCAGTAGTTCGTCTCTGGTAAAACTGACAGTAAAGGAATGACTAAACACAGAACAAACAAACAAAAACAGCAAAAGAATGGGAGAGCTCCACACGGTGGCAGCCATGCTCAGCGCCATCTTGAAACAAAAAGACTATAGTGTAATAAGTTTAGAAAATATAGGTTAAAACGTTTTAATAAGATTACCAAAAAAAACACCCTTATAAAGGTAAAAATGCCCCAGGAAATCAATTTAGGCAAATAGTGCCTCTTAATTGAGAAATTTCTGTCACTGTTGTGAACTACCACACAGAATATCAGAGAAACAGAGTAGATATTAACAGCACAATAATCTACATTGATGAACATTCAACATTGCATTAACAATATTTTCATGCATGGTGAATAAAGAAAAATCTGTAGTTCTGTAGAGCAATCTGCTCTGAAAGAATCTCTGTCTAAAGAGGATACCTAAAAAATAAATATTATTCTGAATTATTGGGCATATTGGTTCCTACTTGATAGCTGTGGTCACCATTTACTTTCATTAAATTAAGAGCAGCTTTGACATTATGCCAACTGCTTTTGTGTTCCTCAGAAGAAAGTCATTTTGGTTTTGTATAGCTTGAGGGTGAGTAAATGATGACGGAAATCAAGCGTAGCGTTAGTTCTGGCAGGTCATGTTAGTCAAGCTCGCATCAGCTGACTCTCAGCTGATCCCCATCTACCTATGGGAATAAGACACCCATCTAAGCATTCATATATACGGTCCCTCAGTATTATCAGCAGTTTTCGCATTGCTCAATAGCTAATTACCCTCCTCCATCCCCAACTCCTCCTCTGTCAGTCAGGATTCAGCCTTCTGATTCTCCTTGAATCAGACTAATTCTAAAATGTGTACATAAAATTATTGAACTTTAACAATATCTGCAATACATTTATGTTGGTTCTGTTCTGTTTACCCTGGGGGGTTATTGCTGCTCTCCCTGCTCTCATCCATGCTAGGCTGCATGGATGCGCAGGGAGTTCTTGCCCAGAACAGAACCATACCGCCAATCCAAACTGTATGCTAATTGTCAATCATCTTTGACGATAGTGGTCCTGACAGAATTTTAATTTTTGTGAAAAACATTCCTCTAAATTATTGGAAGAATGTTGTACATTTCACCTCAGGGCATTAAAGAGAAAATTGCCATATAGAAATATTCTATTAACAGGTGTTAATTTTGTTCAAAACATATTCAAAGCAAGTTCTATTACTCAAAATTTAATTTACTCTTTCTTTGCATGATTATATTGCCATAAAACTAGAGATTAGTCTGTCTATTGTGCCACTTTTAAAATGCATGTGTGTTTGGGTGTGATAGTATGATTTGATTGTGCAGCTGCATGGAGAGCAGCCCTGGCGTAATGCCGCTTCATCTGGGAGTTGGTGGGGGAGCTCGTGTGAAGCGTTTGTCTGGAGGAGATTAGCGCCGACTCTTCCCTAAAGGCACTGATAGTTTTTCTTCCACAGAGCCTCCCTGCCTGGCTGAGCTAGAGCGAATCCAAGTGCAAGAAGGAGCCAAGAAGAAATCAGGTAAGAATGAACGCTCCGCTTAGACTCACTGTACTATCTTGGGAAGAGCAAATTAAGGTGTGAAGTAGAAGAACAAAGGGAGAACCAGAGAAAGAGGTTATATAAAATATATACAACTGGAAGAAAAGAGAATGGAAGAAAGAAGGTCAGTAAAAAGAAAAAGTGAGGCAGAAGGGAGGTAAGGTATAAACTCTGAAAGACAAAGAGGGCGGCTCTAGCAGAAGTGACTCTAGAGGAGTTTCATTTAACAGATGACAAGCACAAAGCTGGGATTAGCCCCTAATCAGGTGTGCGGTTTAGAATGGCGCTCATGACTGCAGGCAGTGCTGCATGTTTGGCTGCAGCGCTCTCAGGACTCTCCAAGGACACGCTGCAGATGCTTCAGCCTATCAGAGGCAGCCAAAATGCAAGCGGCTCCCAAAGCTGGAGAACAAATAGCAATGTACAGTGGGTACGGAAAGTATTCAGACCCCCTTAAATTTTTCACTCTTTGTTATATTGCAGCCATTATTTTAAGTGCTATTTTTTTGAGTTGCATTCCGAAGTACGTGGTCATCACTTTTGCCAGCTATGTTTAATTTATGTTCTCATAAATAAAAAACACGCAAAGACATAAATAGGACAGTCAGGTTGAATTATGGGTAAGGGTCAATGGAATCACGTGTGGTGGTGGTTGGGATGTAACATCACATTCTGAATGGTTAAAACTGGCTTTTAAAGATTTGTCCCTTAGTACACTCAGTGCATCAGAGGGTTAAATCCTGCATTTCATTGCTAAATAGATCATGATGATTATGTGGACATATAGGTGTTTATTACTCCATGCAGTTGGTTTTTATCGCACATCATAATTCGAGACACTGCAGACAGAAACCCAGCCCTCAACCCTCGCCAAGGTTACATTTTATGCATTACAATGAGCAGTGTCACTTGAGTCTGTCACATGATTTACAGCAATATGCAAACTAGTTTTCAATGTCACCCGTGATGCAACACTCATTTTATATAGGACATGAAAATGAATGTAAAACATGCATTGTGTTTCTCAAAACGTGTGTGTCTGTGTGTTTCTCTCTCTACTTGCCATTTCAGATACATACATTCCCAGCTGTGATGAGGACGGCTTTTACAGGAGACTGCAGTGTGACAAGAGCAGAGGGGAGTGCTGGTGTGTGGACCAGCGTGGAGGAGAGTTAATGGGCTCCAGAATCCATGGCAACCCCGACTGTGGTGAGCACGAGCACAACACGAACACACACACACACACACACACACACACACACACACACACACACACACAG